CTAGGGTAAAGCAGGCCATGCAGCAGCAGAATTTTGTTAGAAGAATTGGTTTTCAGAGTGTTGGTTATGCTTTTCACTAGTTAACGGGGTCAAATTGACAATCGATTTCAACCACAGTGACAAAACACATCAAAGCAGCAGGATGGAAAATTTTTCTCGAAAGAACAAAATTCTAACAGTGAATGTGGTTTTCACTCAGGAAACTCCATTCATTCCTAAATTGAATGTTAAAATCAAATGAAATTTCGAGCGACATTTGTCAAGTCTCTGATGCTTTATCGAATGTTCTGACAAGATTTCTTGTATGAATGTTCATACAAAAATCTACCAGTGCATGGCCAGCTTAAGGGAAGTTTTAAGGAAGCTGCTCCAGATTCTGTCTGCTCCAGTTTTGATACCTTCCCCCCAAGTGTTTTAAATAAAAGAGCAATAGGTGAGTGAGCTAAGTGAAGGTAATAGTGGTGTACAAAATTGTTATTAGAGAGGTGCATTATCTAAAAAATAGCTAAAAAAAAAGATGATGTGATATTTAGCAATTTTCAGCGTGTTTATGCATGATTATATCAGGCAGTGGGGAATTTTTTTGAGGTCTGTGTGCCTTGTGCATGCACTTCATTCAGCCTGACTGACTGGCTTACCACAGACTCCCCAGAAAATGAGGAGTTTGAGAAAAGTTTGATTGTAAGCCATGAAGATAATGTTACAAACCATAAAAATAATAAATGCTTGTATACAATCAGGGCCGGACTGTGACAAAAAATAGGCTCGGGCATTTTAGACTGAGCTGCCCAATCACTTGACCACCGACAGGCCCCAACCTCGCAACAGGGGGCGGAGCCAAACAGAAGAGCAATCAAGAGGCAGGGACGGCCACTAGAAAGTACAGGAGGGCTACAGCTGACACACAAGGCTTGCTACAACCAACACACAAATCTTACAACACCATAGGAAGTTTGCTATAGAGAAGTTTTGTGATATCCTCAGCGGATCTCCACCTCCCCAGCTGTCCACCTTACCCTGAGCACGGTGTACAGGTGAGTGCTCCTGAAATAGCGCTCACAGTGCTCCAGCAACGCCGGCACGATACCACCTTTTCTGTACACAGGCGAACCACATCACCGCACTGACAGCTTTTGGCAGGTCTTTCAGAGCCGAGACTCTATTACCTGGGAATTCTGCTGCGATTAGTAATTACCGCTCCCAACTGAAAGCTTTATGTGTAGAAGAGAATGCTGGCACTCGTATGCCCACTCTGGTCATAGAATGTAGAGGGGGCATACGGGTAATAAAATGCAGGCTGCCAGGTGCACAGGCGGCTCTCTAATTAGAAAAATTAGGTGGCCGCCTAATTTTCCTAAATATAGGGACAATAACTTGTATATACAGTATAAACTCTATGGGTGGCAAATACAGTACTGGCTCTATAGGGGGCAGGCAGGTATAGGATAAATATGGGTTCATGGTGTACAAATGAGTATTCAGTAAGCAAAAACCTTTAGTAAAAACATATTGTAATGGTATCATCACCCATATATATATAAATATAACCCATCTTCTACAATGGTGTTGCTTAAAGAGTATTAATTGCCTCCAGAGGCAGCAAAGTTGGCTAGTTGTCTTTGGCACAGCCATCCTCAAAATCCCATAGGTGGACTGTTCAGGTGATATCTAGCCTAGAAAACCTTTTGAAAGGCAATGGGTTTCCAAAGGTAGTAGTGAAAAATTAGTGAGTGGTGGCATTCTCGCTGCCGTACTCATCGGCCGTACGAGAAGCGGCACACCAGCCTCCTAGCACACTCAGCCTGCCCCAAATCAGCCCTGGGATATGTACCCCCTGCAGCCTGAGCTGAAGCAGCAGCAGACTTAGCAAATCCCAGTAATACATTATACAGTAATGTAGAATGGCACTGGCTATAACGGACTACAAATACCACCAATACATTTTACGGCAATGCAGAACACCACCAGCTATAAAGGACTACAAATTCCAGCAATATATTATACAGCAATGCAGAATGGCACCGGCTTTAACGGACTACAAATCCCAGCAGTGCTCAGCTCTGCACTCAGTGGTCTGACGCAGAGTGCAGAGTTCAGCGGTGTGACTTACATCAAATACCATTACATGTGGTGTGACAGCGTTCAAATGCAGCGGCTGTCACCTGATAATTAACTTGAATAGGTGACAACTACCGCTTGTAAATGGCAGATTAGGGATTCCTGCTGCAGGAAAACGCAAATTCCTGACACAGGAATCCCTAATCACATCTGCACTTACAAGTGTGAATGGGGCCTTATTATGTGTATAGTAGTGTGTGTATTTCTGTGTGTGTGCATATTTCTATGTATGTGTGTACTTCTGTGCGTGTGCGTATTCCTGTGTGTGAGTGAATGTGGGATTCTATGTGTATAAACACAACCAGGCAATAACGCTGGTACCGCATATGCTTACATTTTATTTTGAAGTATGACATTTTATAAAATTTTGCAAGCAGCCACCATGGAAATTTGTCCAGTGGCCCCCAAGAGAATTGAGTTTGAGACCTCTGATCTAGAGGTTAAATAAAGCTGTATCAAATTTAATAAGGATAAAGTAGACATTTGTAGACTAGTATCTATGGAAAACAGACCTATCATGCTGGAACATGCATAAGATGTAGACTAAATATGGTGTTACCAAAATAATATTTGATATAATTATACATACAGTATGTTTACATAACATATAATTCATACCCGTGCAAAATATATACAGAATAGCAACAAATGTATCTGAACCAATATATTCTCTTCAGTAATGTGGTCTAGTCTGTTCTTGTCATTTCCTACATGAGCCACAGCCATGAAACCTCTGTCCTCTATGCACTGGCCTGTGTACATGTAAAACCACAAAGAGAGAGTGGTCACACTAATCTACAAAGCCAGAGAAAGACACTCATTTTCCCCTTAACCCATTTATTCACTACAGAGAATGCTACAACTCTCACATGTTTGCCATTGCCATTGTGGAGCTCGTAGTCTGATCATCCCATGCTATGCCCCAGATCTAAGCTTTTTCTTGATATCACTGAAGGTAAAACGTTTTTCAGTTTTAAGAGTGCGTTAGAACCCCCAGTTTTGATTGCTCTCTGAGTGCCTTTTGGAGAACGTTTATCTTATATGTCCTAGTAAATATCGTTAACATAAATAGAAGGGGAAATACAGAAAAAGAAGGCAAATATTCAGACACTTGTTGCAATGATAATCACCTAAGAGAGAATATACCTCACTTTGGAAAGGTTTTCTTTCACTTTCTTTTGTGTCTACAAGACAGGAAGGAAAGGGAAATCTTCATGGACAACTGATCCATCAACAAATGGATGTGGTACAAACTAAAAATGCAACATCTTTACTTACAAGAAGGATAGTAAATTGTGGTGAACCAAAGTTTGCCACATTATTATTATTATTATTATTATTATAATACAGGATTTATATAGCGCCAACAGTTTGCAAAGCGCTTTACAATATAAGGAAGACATTACAATCACAATACAATTCAAGACAAGATGGTAAGGAGGGCCCTGCCCATTACGGCTTACAATCTAAAAGGGAGGGGCCAGTAATACATGAGGAGGTAGCTGTGTGGGGATGAATTGTTTGAGAACGTGATGGTTCAGTGGTTAGGTTGAGGTGGGATAGGCTTCCCTGAAGAGATGATGCGAAGATCACTGCCCATTGCGGCTAAGTACAATGTGATGAGGGAATTATTGTACATGTATGGCCATTATGAAACCTCTGCAGACACCCCCCATCCACAATGGATTTCTCTGGTAGTCAAATTGTTTTCACCTAAGTCTGCACCGAAATGTATATATTTGGAGCAAAATGCAGATCAAAACAATTTATGTCATAATTATTCTTAAGAATGTTCGTACATCGACCTATGAGTAGTCTAGGTGTGAATAAAACACTGGTAGTGTGGACAAATAATCATGTAAAGTTGAAAGGATGCTGCAGTGTCATTAGCACTGTAAATACGCAGTGGAACATCTATATAAAGATTAAATCAAAGTGATGCTGTAGACTATAAACTATAGATGAATATATTAGTTCACCTGGATAGGCAGATATTCACAATTTCTGTCCAGTTCACTACATAGACTGATTTGCTGAATCTCTCTACATCAGCTTTGCATCAAAATTGCAGCATTGGGCCAGCCATTTTGTTGGCTGGTAACTAAACTTAGAGGCTGGTTCAAACACATTTTTATTTGTGAAATTCCAGTGCCATCAATCACAAGCAAATGAGCCATAGTATAAAGTCTTGCCTCCTTCGTTTCTGTTCTCACACATGCTAATGCTCCTCTTCTTCTCCACCTATAATCCCGCACTGACATTTTGACTAGTAGAAACCATCAATGGCCTGCTGCTTTTTCCTTGTGCTCCCTCAGACAGCCCACCGATAAGGTCTGTGCCAGATCTGTGTAGAGGTAGATCTATAAAAAAAAATGTAAGTTTAAAGAAAAAATTATAATTTATAAAGTATT